TCAAGCTCCACTCTGTCTGGAAACATTGAAATGTACAGTTGCCCTTGCTGCGAGGATCCCAGAGCGTGTTCTCTCCTCAGGGGCANACTTTATCCTCACCTCCGACCCGACTGTCTTCTGGAGTTGTTTCGGATCGTTTATCAAACAGTGTATGGTTATCCTTCGTTGTTTGTTATAAGCACTTATTTATTAACATTAACATCGGTTTTCCACCTTCATGGATGACTGTTATGATTATCGAAATTCCTAGTGGACTTACAGACTGTTGACACATCCAGAAGACAGCAGACGAAGACCAACGGCTATGTACCGGCCAATGTGATCGGGCATTACAGAGTAAGCGCGCCACAGGTGAATCTGGGGTTCAGAGATAGCACAGCGCTCCTTAGGGCCGAATAATCTAAGTGCTTTCATTCCTGGGGCGTAACCAACACCGAGAAGACGGGCGCAGCGGAAATTTTGCCATCCAAATCGTAGGAGTAACCCCATTTTTGTATTATCCTTCAACTTCAATGTTTCATTCAGTAGTACTGTAGTCAGTCTCCCTTCCCCAGGTTCTACGTTACTCTTATGTACCTGGTATATACTATTGTTACAATTATTATATTCCTGGAGTTTTGTATCCCTCAAGTAATTAGTTGTCTGCCCCGAACGGACGAGTTAATGACAACGCTCAGGAGGATTCTCTAGATAGTATCAAACCACGGGAGTCGCCTGCCATGGAAAGTTCCGAGAAACGAAGCGGCCAGTCTACTACGAGATTTCGTTAAACTAGTGCAGCCAGAAGTGTTTTAATAGGTTGAGAGATACTAACTAATCGGCGGTCTAGTATAAATATCCAATAGAAGCGAAGTGCACGGCTACAGGGTCTGTCAGTCCTATAAAATATTATGCCGCGATTCGCTCAGCTGTTCGTTGTACTGCTTCTTCAGCTCTAGGAGACGTTAGTCACACGAGAAGCCCTATTTGCACAAGTCCACCGGTATTAGGTAGGGCAACGCGCA